TATCATAGCTTTTGTGCGAGATCGATTAATTTTACGAGTTGAAAATTGAAGATTTGGGAATGATATTGGTTATAGCTTAATTTATAATAACTATAAGACTTTCTTCTCTTTTCATAATCGTATAAAAGTATTTTTTATAGAGAAATCTAAGAATCTTTAATATCTTTTCAATATCCTTCCCGACAAATCATCTTCGTAGTAAAATTCGAAGGATCGAACAAGTGAGAATCCACATGTGAAATGAATTTATTATTTAAAAATAAGGGAACATATTTTTATCATTCTAACAAGGTGAAGAGAAGACAGAGTAATCTGAAAGAAAAATTGACTGGGGTTAGCCTGTCAAGTACAGAGTCGTTATCGTGCTCGTCGTTTAAACACACTGGTGGATCCCTGTTCCAGGGTGGAAACGAGAAGCGTTTTTCAGCCAGGATAATCGTAGTCTCGCGTAGGTTGCAACGGCCTCCGATTAAAAATTGATCGACCATTCGATGGTTATTCATCAGGGCCAGTTTTCAGCGGCGCGCATCTGGCCGATCGCTGTGAAAGCTTTCTTTGGAAGCGTTATCTTTTATTCGAGCTATCGGTTAAAATTTATCACTTTTCGCGTGCCCCTCCACTTCTGTTTGATCAACCCAAGCCGAAACGGAATAATTCAAGCCGAATTTTCGATGAATCATTCGTGAAATTTTCTGTGTTTGATCTTATCACATCGGGGAAATACAAGAATTCTGGCATTCTAATGGCATTTGTTCGTACATATATTCCATTTATATGTAAAATTTAATCATAATTATCGTCGCGCAAGTTCTAGCACATGCACACCATTCATTTTGAAAGTAATGATTCTTTCGTTTCAAGGCGAATTTGTGCATCGATCGAACAATTTTTTTATAAAATAATACAATCTCATTCTTTGCTATAAGATGTTAAAGGATATATTGTTAATTAGAATTTTATTGTAATTTTCAAGTAAATGCAAGACAAAATTTAATTATTATTAAAATTTGATTATCAAAATTATCTTTCATTCGCTTATTAATATTTTATCAAGAAAAATCTTCACTTTTATTCTTCATATTTCTATTCCATTCCCGAGAAAATTACATTAGTATTGACAATTTTTATTCAATTATAATTTTCAAGCCAAGAATTACTTCGACAGATTTGAACAAGACCTTGTACGTACCCAGTGATTTTTTAACTCGAGACAAAATAAATCATATAGAACGAGAGACTCGACCACGAACACTTGGCGAGTATGCATGGACATTTTAAAGAATTTATTGGAGGACCAATAAACGATTCGAGCTCGCCGAATTAAGATGTAATTTAGTGGCGTGGCTCGGTCCTCGTTTTTATTAAAAGATAAACACCATGTTGAATCGAAAAGAGATGACTCTTTCCGTGTTCTTACGTCGATCGTTAAAAGGCTTACTTTATGCTGATTAACCATCGGGACACGGATCTGGGAGAGGCGGGGTACCGTGCATAAATACACGGGCTTTTTGCTTGTATGAATATGCATGAATATTAATGAAACCGCTTCGACACTGGTATCTTCGACTGCGTTCTCGAAATGTCACTCTTTCAACGATTGATTGGCAATTGAAATTGCTCATCATTTCGTTGTGTCGATCGTAATTTTTACTTTTCTCGTCGATATTGTTTAAGCAAAATTGTTTAAGAAATGACTAGGTAATATCAGCTAAGGTATTAAATAATTTAGGTTTGAGAAGATCTTTCTTCTTTTGCAAGTAGGTAACATTTTTAAAAATAATGCATTTTAATGCAATTCATGTTTTATTTGTCTACATTGTACTTGTATAAATGAGAGAAAAGGAAAGAGGAAGTTTTTGAATTTTGTAATTGAGACGATATTATTCATTTTTTCTAATATTTTTATATTTGAAATTTTTGCCTGTGTATCGTGATAGTTGTAAAGAATATATGTTTTTTCCGTCTTTTCTTTTTCTTTTATTTGATAAGATGGATGGTTAAGGAAGTAAAATTGTAAATTATAAATTCTTACAGGGGATAATTGGGAAAAGATTGGACTCATAACAAATCATTTTATTTCACGGGCTGATCGTTTTCTTCTTCGAATTTTCACCGTTCGTTATATTTCCCCGCGAATCTCCAATAAGCTTCTTCTTCGAACAATTCGGAAACCAAAATTTACATAAAACGTGATAATATTTTACTCGATCCCAAAAATTCGGAATTATTTTCCAATCGCAACCATTGAAACCACAGCATCCTTGAGAGCTCACTTTGGAACGGAACAAGTCCCAGATCAATAAAGTCGGGCTATTTCGATCGCATCTAAAATTCCACGGATAATCTTCACCCACGCGCTACTTCAATTTCATACAATATTTAATTTATTTCAATAGAACTCTTTTCTATCTTAAACAAATTTTAAAGTTATATTTTAAAATTATGGAAAATTATAAGAGTTTAATAATTTTTCATCGTTAATCGAGTATCTATCATCCGCCCATGATTAGAGAGATCGCATTTACATTTCTATATCGTCGTTTAAACAAATATTTAACTTGTTTAAACAGAACCAATAATACAATTTCTCATCCTCGAGTAACTCATTCAAGTAATTCGTTGAAAAATTCAAAGTTTCACAACTTCGTTGTGAAAATGTATCCACTCGAATCAAAATTTTAATATATCTTGAACAAATTTTAACGTTAAATTACGGAAAATTATAAAAGTTTAATAATTTCACACCGTTACTCGAGTATCTATCATCCAACCACCCAATTCGATGATTAGAGATTGCACTTACATTTCTATATTCGTCGTTTAAAATTTCTTTCTCCAACTCCCCGAGGAATAATTTCCTTTCGTTCTCGCTTTTTTTTTTTCCAACCCCGCAAATAAATCTGCCTCGACCAGCGACACGATTTCCCGAATCCCACCGGTCCTCCTGGAAACATTACATCTTACATCACGAGCGAAGGAGAACGGAACCACGGTCCCAGGACAAGGAGGTGGAACTTTGAGCGGTCTAATTTCTCGATAGTCGATGGCTGCGCCCTTTCCAACACGACTTTCGACCCTTCCAACCCAACTTTACTCTCCGTTACATCATCCTGAGTAAAGTAGAGCGTCGAATTCCAAGGTAAAAAGAAAAATCTATTCGCCATGAAAATAATCACGGCGTAATTCTCGATCTCGTATGTATATGTGTATATGTTGCTTTTAAATTCTAGGAAGACAATGGTGTATCGAGTGATTTCAATGAACGCGCGTATTTGGCGGCGAACAGCGCGGGAACGGTATTTATAAACATTTCCCCCGGCCAATTCGTGGAACACTTTCTCGTTCGCGAAATGTCAACATTTGCCGGCGACGTAGTTTATAAATTGCGCAGTCGAGGAGTTTCGTTCGACGAGTAAGGTAAGCGTTCCTCTTTTAATTCATTTATTAATTAATCGTTAAGAAAACAGGATAATCGTTAAGGATAAAAAACTATCGGTTAAAACAATCGAATTATTTTTATTCGATTATTTTACACATTAGTTCGCGTTATTGGTACTTAGTTCGATAAAAGATAGTGTGATTTTGGTGTATAGTGTTAAAAAAATTAAATCATTAGCGATTCCCCATTTCTTCAAACCAGAATATTTCAATTACAAATTCGACAAACTTTGAAACGTAGCTCTCAACGTTCTTTAAGCCACGATTTCTCTTCGAAAAACCGTCGTTATAGTGAAAAAAAGCGACCAGAACAAATAATTGCAGAAAAAAACCGAGAAATTCTAAATCAGTTCTCCACAATTTCCCAGTAAATCGAAGAATCTACGTCGAACGAAGGAAAAATCAGAAGAAGGATGCTGTCCGAGATCGAGGAATTGGACGCACGCGTGAGAGGGGAAGAGGAGGAGAGAAGAACGGAGCGAAGGTTTAAACAAAGTAGCCGGAAAGGATAATTCGAATCTCGAGGGAGCGATCGGCAAGCAAATCGATCGAGAATCGAATTGTTTCGTCCGTTTTCGCGCATGCACACCTGCCGTTCTTTGATTCGTTCATTCGATGGAACGAGTTAAAGCGATTAGGTCAACGAGGGAAGGGCCCTTGTTTCCACGCGAACGTTTGGTAAATTTACATCGGTTAACTGGTGATAGATAAAGCGGATCGATTCGTGGTCGAATTGAAAAAACGTCACGCGGGATCGGTCGTTAAGGTAACTGGTTCACCTCGTTACGATGGATTTGCCGCTCTTTGCGCTACGTGGATTATCATACCCGAACGTGATTCCCCCTCGATATCATCTCTTGTTATTAGTGAGTGGATTTAATAAATCGAAGTTCGTCGTTCGTCCGTTCCTGGGACAATTTGTATTGTAAAAAGTTTATTTCTTTACTTTGTGTGGTGATAAATAGAAGAGACAGGATTGTGAAAGTGAATTGAGAAGAAGAAAAAGAAGGCTGATAATAAAAGGAAATGATAATTGTAAGTAATCGAAAATTATTTTTTTTTTTTTTTTTTTTAGGAAAATGAATAGATTTGATACGTATAAGTATTTATATTTTAAATTCGGATATTCACTTGTGATATATAAAAGGATATATCGAGGATTTATACGTATCGAATTGTATATCATATTGTTACTATTTAAATTTTAAAGTAAAATACCTTTTAAATCGAGAAAGAAATTAAATCAGTAGTTAGGATTATTCACTCTCCGGCCAATGAATATTTTTTATATCAATAACACAGATAAACCACGATCAAAAATAAATTTCTCGGTGATAAATTATTTTCCAACATTCTTAAATTCTCGTGCTTGTTTGCCTTTCCTCCGTCGAAAGATGTCAGCTTCGTTTCAACCATCGATAAATCATCGTTTTCGAAACTCAAAGGCTCGACAAGTTTGATTTTTAATCGACGATTTTCGCGGTCAAGAACGTCATTCGTAAAATTAACGTTTAACTTAAAAAAAAAAAAAAAAAAGAAAAAGAAAAAGGAAGAGAGAAGAGAGAGGAAGAGAGAGGAAGAGGAAAAAAGAAAAATGAATCGATGAAGTGACCGCTATTTGCCTTTCAGATTAATGGAGATTGCGCGAACGTTATCAAAGCACCGAACCAGCTTTCACTGTCGAACGTGGTAAATTTATAACGGATCACAGGAAATTCCTTTTAAGCCTCCAACCTCCGAGATCGTTTAAGAATCCCGCGCCGGATTTCGCGCCGGTGGAATAGTTAAACACCTCGTTTTGCGTTATCTTTTTGAAATCCATCGCCACATAAATCGATAATCGTTTTATTTTATTAAATTGCTTGCTTTTATCTCGAATCGTTCGAGAGTCTACTCTACCCATTTGCGACAGCTAAAATGAAGTTTAAAGGAAATGAAAGGGAGTCGAACGAAAGACGATCGTGAAAAAGATTGAAAAAGAGAATAACGAAGATCTTTGATTGAAGAAGAAATCGAGATAACTTTTGTGTAATAAGAAAAGGAAAAAAAAGAAGATGGAAATTTGAATTTTTTCGTTCTATCGTTCAATCTTTATGCAAATTCGTTAAAAGGTTGAAAGTTAAGTAAAAAAAATTTTTTTTTACCAATTAAATTTTACAACACGATATTTTAATCGATTACATGGACGACTATACGTATTTCTTAATCAATAATAATTTTACAACCATTCGTAAAAGTTATATTTAAAAAGTTTTTATTTTTTTGGTGAAATGTTAACGAACACTTTTTCATTTTTAATGAAACTTTATGAGCGCGTGCAGCATAATGGGTTATACATGAAGCAATTTTCTTTCGCCGAAATATCACTTTAAAGAGGTGAAATCAACGCTCAAAGTTTCAGTATGATTTCCGCTTTTTAAATATAACTTTGTAATGGAGCGAGATAGAGCGAAATTTTAAATTACGAAATGTCCATAATTTAGCGTTCTAACGTTAAAAAATACCGAAACTTCGATTTCGTGTCCTCGAGGAAATTTCCAGTCGAAAAAAAAAAAAAAAAGAATTACATTCTACATATTTCATTAAAAACCAGACTTTTTTTTTAAGTTAGATAAATTTCTCTTTACTTTCGCGACCTTTTCTCTACGTTACGCGGCTTTATTTAAAATAACGGTAACAGTTTTTCCAAATTAAATTTCCAACGTAAGATCAAAGATCTGAAGAAACTCGTAGAAATCAAACAATTTGATAAAATTGAACGCGAAGAAACAGAAGAATCCGTGTCGTCGGTAACAAACAAATACAGAAGAAAATTTCTCGATTCCTCTTTACGAATTGCGCTTCTCTCACTTTAATTTGCCGATCATATTTATAAAAATCGGGTAATAAAAAAAAAAAAAAACCAACAAACTAACTGCAATTTCGAGCTACGAGTATTTCGAGGCCGACCCTATATTCTTATTTAACATTCCACTCTCGCCTCCTCTCGGCCAAGAATAAATTAGTCGCTCGAGATTGCCCCGTTCGAATCTCCGCGCGCAAAATTCGATTTAATTACTGGCGGCCAGAACCCGCGAGTTCGTCATTAATTACCGGGGGCGATCGTTAAGTAACGCGAGTCCTCCTGGCTGTCGGGGAATAAAAAAGGGGTGGCGGCCAAATGGTGCCATAAAGCGGGCGCTCGGTTTTAACGAATAGCGCATTAAGCGGCGCACACCATCCAATTTTTACGATCGCCGCAGAAAAATCGGTCACAGAAACGAAACGCCGCGTTTGTAAATAATCAACCTGGCTAATGCGTTTTATCGCGACGGCCCAACCCTTCTCGCGAAACCGTGAAACCGAGCTTTTAATACGCGCGGCGCGTACGCGTAAATTGGAGAACCGTTATCGCTTTTTATCGATCCGAGGAGTTTCTTTCGATGTATCTCGTCCTTGGTCGTCTGAAATTATCTGTTGCTTGTTTCCATTTTTTGGATTCAGTTTTCGTTTTTAGAAAATCAATCATCGAGTTTATAGAAAAAGAGATCGTTGGATCGTAAGAGATTTTTAGGAATTGTTAAATAGGTTTTTCTTGTCCTGTTTCAATCAAATCTCTAGATCTGGATATACATTTTTGGCTCGTGTTTGTGATATACGAGGAAATTTCTCGATAATTTTTAAAAAATTTGTAGAAAGTTTGTAGGAAGTTTCAAAGTTTGGTCAGTAATTTAGTAAGTTGAAAATTTATTAAGGATTCGATGATTGGTTAAATTTAATAAAAAAGTTTTATCAATAATTCAATGATTGACAATTGGGTAAAAGAGGTAGCTTACTGCTACGATTAAATTTAATACGAGTAAGATAATCTAATCGAGGAAATGGTAGAAAACGATTGGATTATATAATAAATTTAAACAGACTCAAGTATTAGTATTTTTTCAAAATTAAAATTCGACGTTTCAATAAGATATCAATAGATATTTTCGATTGAGATGGCGTTGTAAATTATTTAAAAAGTTTATAAAAATATCTGATTCTTTTTCATATTCCTATCAATTGAATATATTGAATTATAAATAGCTATTAAGTAGCATAAAATATGTATCTGTTCAATCGAATTTTCGAAAGATTATTGTGCCATCTCCTTAATATTACCATTTCCTTAATATACCCTTAGATTTTCCAAAATCCAAGATAATTGAAAATATACATTAAATCACAGGTATCGAGTACAGCCCAAAATCTACATACATTCGAATTTCAAATTTCAAAATCAAGAGACACCTTAACGTCGCTTATTTCATCCGAACAAAAGATCAAAAATTAAAGAGAGAGAGAGAGAGAGAGAGAAAGCAAAAACTCAAAAAATTCCACGCGGAAGAAGATAGAAAGAAGATCATTACGAACGAAAATCAACCACATGGACGCACAGCCAGCTGTCATCGTTGGACATCGACTCCGTTTCTTTAACCCGTCGCGAGAGCATATGGCTGGTTGAGAGAAAGAGAGAATTATACAGAGACACGGCCGAGACGACCGAGCGAACAAGATGATCGGGAATGAAAAAGGTGCTGCGAGGCGTCGGTGGTTTTGTTGGTGCCAGAAAGGAGATCCCCCGCTGAGAATCGCGCTCAAAGAAACCGACTGCGTCGGCCTTTCCTGGCCCCTCCCTCTCCCTCCTTTCCTTCGTCTGACCAGCTGTCCATAAATCTTCGGCCCTAGACAAAAGCAGGAAAAAAATGAAGGGCATCAATTAAAGGCGGCGACTCAGGCCGGACTGATGACGCTTGAAAATTCGCCGATCGAAAGGGCGTAGCGCACCCTTTGGCGCCTCGCGGGCATAACAGCGATCGTTGGAGAATGACGCGCACGTGTCTTCTCAATCCACTGGAACAGTTGTATATCATTTTAATTACCGTGTTGAATTTTTATCGAACCAATACTTCTTTCTTTACTCAGCTCGTCTGGTCTCCCTTGCTTATATTTCTTTTTTCTTTTTTTTACCCTTTGGCAGGTAAAGTGAGTAAGTTGTAAAGAAGAAGAAAAAAAAGGGGACATCGAATTTGAGTATGAAAGAAATTTGAAAGAAACGAAATTGATTTAGGGATGGAGTAAGGAATTACGATCGAGGAAATTTGAAATATGAAACGATAGTGGATTGAATTATTTTGTACATTTGTCGAAAATATCGGAGGAAATGTTTATTAAAATTGAAAGCAAACTAATTTTTACGATCCGACTTACGCGAGTATCAATCATTTCGATGAAGTTTATTTAAATATGGAGAATGAAATTAAAATTTAAACAAATATATATATGTATAAATAGTAGTATAAAATAATAGTCGGCAAAGAGCCGAATAAATAAATTGGAATAAAATTTTTTTTTTATATCGTTTACCGTTTACTTCGTAATTAAAGTCTAAATAAAATATGAAATATGAAATTTACATAAACATTCCATTTCTGCAGATTGAAATCATTTAAAAATAACACTCGTGGATATATCGTATCCACGATTGACGAATATTTTTAGATATTCCACGTTAAATCGTGGAAATTGATCGACCTAATAATGCCATTTTCATTCGTGATTAACGCAATTTTCCTTGCAGGAAGAAAGGGATATCGTGACACGGCCATCTTCACTTTAAAAAGCGGAATTCATTACACCGGTAATTGAAAATCGCGATAAACGGGGTTGATCAACTTTCCAGCGAAACGCAACACAGAATCGAGAGCTTTATCCTCTATTAAAATCCTTTCGAGAATTAAACGATCGTTCGATCTCAGTGATTTCAGTTCCAGTTTATACCAGGATTTATATATATAAGAATTTCGTGCAAGAGATAAGATAATTCATCGTTTGAAAATGATTTCAAATGTAATGATTCTCGTCGGGTTCATCAACCGGCTTACTTCGTATCGAGAGAGGCGGATCGTTGAAAAGAGGAAGGGAAAAAAAGAATCGACGGTTTCGATGGCCGTCCATTTACTTTTAAAAAAGTACATTGACTCGTTTTTAACGGAACTTGAAAGGGTTCCATTGAAATACGATCCCATTGTGTTGTCGCGATTCGCGGATGCTCAGGCGGTCTCGTTTCGTTTGGAAGAAAAGGCCACCGCGAAAATATCCTTCCTTCGCTGTGCTCGTGAAAAAATGATCGAGCATTAACGCTGCCACCTTCCACGAAGTTCACCCTCCTCCTTTTGTTCCTTCAATTTAATTTAATCCAAGGGACGATATCAAGATGATACACACGTCAGCATATGGAATTATATTTTACAATACGAGAAAATAATATGCATATAAAAGATAAGTATTTTTCTATTTTTCTATTGCACTGTAGAATACAATTTTAAATTCTCAAATATTTTACACAGAACATGTACATCTTGCCAAGATACGATCGTCTCGTTGAAAGGATTTCTCGGAGTTTTAAAATTTTATCTAAAAAAAATTCCACATCATTCGATATCTCGAAAAATTATCGCCTGATAGTTTTCATTCGGTGTATAATTAATAAAAACAATTGGAAAGTTTTCGAGTGTAAGAAGATATACGCCTTAAATAGATCCAGATTGCTGATGAAGGTTAATCTTGGACGATGCAACACGATCCGTCCATCGGTCGAAAAATTCCTGTAGGGTCTGACGAATTCTGTTTTCGAATCCCGATCTAATCAGATGGTAATAGCACCTGCGAAGCCAAGAGTCCAACCACCTGGACTCGATCTACCGCGTGCGATGATTAATAATTTCTGTCTGGCGAGGATAAGAGCGGAATCGCGTGCGCCTAATTCGTAGGCGGGAGTTTTTGAGTTATTGGCCTTTGTGCCCTTTGTCCATCGGAATGGGGACACTCGATCAAACGTGGTAATACAAACGGAGATCGTTCCGTTCGCCGCGCTTGAAAACGCGGCTACGGCGTGAAGTGGAAAAATGAGGCAGTTTCTCTTTACTGGTAAGCGTAATCGGGCGTGTGATTGCCAGACAATGGTCATTCTTTCGTATGAAAAATATAGATATACACTCGATATCGTTTCTCTTATAGAATAAGAGAGA